GTTTGATTTCGTTTATATTATTACAGATGCATTTTGCTCCTAAAATGTGGGAACAGAAAATGGATAATAAACTAGCATTTAATAGCGCAAATAATGTGCAATAAATAACGTTTTATATAAAGTAATGTGCAATATTAAAAAATGTTGCAATAGTACAAAATAAATGAAATTTTATAATAAATAATATAAAAAGTTTCATTATTTTATATACAATATTATATATATTATTATTTTATATACAATATTTATTTATTATCATTTTTTAATTTGTCACAATTTTTGAGCATTTTTTAGCATGAATTTAAAATTTAGAAAATAATGCGTTTAAAAAACTGGAGAGAATGGCTAAAACATGGCGGATCAATCACAAGTGATACCCGTATGACGTCACTCTGATTGTAGGCTCTCTATGCGTGAGATGTAAACTTAAGCCGATGAACCAATCAGGATACTGCTTTAAATTACGTAATCTAACAGAAATGGAAATAACAGTAAACTTATCCATTTAAGATTATTTCTATTTCCAATAGAATACGTAGACCTAAAGCAGTAACCTGATTGGCTTATCGGCTTAAGTTCATGTCTTACTGTTACTATTGCCAAATGTTGTGTGCGACAGCCCTAAGGCCTGTTCTATAATAGAATTACAAGCAGTAAGAAATTAACCAATCATAGTCCATTATTCTTCTCATACTTAACTGCAATTGGCCAATTTCTTATGATTTGCAACTCTATTGTAGAACAGGCATAATCCAGCTAGCAATTCGGCTGGAAAATAATCTGAGCCGCAGACTTCAAAAAGTAACGGGAGTGTTTATACTAGCCGTAACCGTATGCTGTATGTTGTAATTTGTAAGAATTAACTAACAATCGAGTATTCCCCTTCTTAGGAAACTAAATTCCTGCGGTTCGGAAATCACACATACAGGAACATTGCTCCGACTTCATATTGTGTACCCATATTGATTTTGATTTATATTTTTGTCTTTCTGTATACTATATATAGACATTCGTGTTCTGCTTATATTGACTTCTGTATTTATCTGAAGACTTAATTAATTACCTTCAGGGTTATGTTGAAATTCCATTATCATTCCATTCTTGTTATTTACTAAATGTTAAACAAGGATGACATAACATCCGGAGTCACTCAGATGGGAATCCGAACACGCCTTAGCATGTTAATTAACTATGCGCTTGTAGAAAATAGTTTTCTCCATTTAAACTAGCTTAACGAAGTTATAAGAATATCTATGTACACGCACACATGCAAGCATCGGCGAATCCGTAAAAAAAATAAATTTGCGCAACAGAAAACGACGGAATCGGTGGAATGAAGCCACGACCAATCACGAACGTTCCGCAGTTCCGCATCTTATGGGAGCACACGGTGCGGTCTCTTAATGGTACGGTCCCATGATGCAGAATTGGTGCAATACGGAATTGGCGGAACGCTCGTGATTGGTCATAGCTTCATTCCGCCGATTCCGCCGTTTTCTGTTGAGCAAATTTATTGTATTTCTTTTGCGGATTCTTTTGCCGATGTTTGCATGTGTGCGTGTACATAGGTATTCTTATCACTTCGTTAAGCTAGTTTAAATGGAGAAAACTATTTCGCATGGCTGAGGCGTGTTTGGATTCCCTGAGTGTTCTCCGGATGTTAAGTCATTCTTGTTTAACATTTGTTAAATAACAAGAATGGTAATGGAATTTCAACATAATCCTGAAGGTAATTAATTAAGTTTCCAGATCAATACAGAAGTCAATATGATCACAACATGAATGTTGCATATAAAGTATACAGAAAGGCGAAAATGTAAATCAAAATCAACATGGGTAAACAAAATGAAGTCGAGGCAATGTCCCTGTATGTATGTGTGATTTCCGATCCGTAGGAATTTAGTTTCTTATATCCCATAGAGCGGAATTTGCAGATGCACAATCAATGCAAGCCAATGACAAACGATCTAATGAAACTAATCTACGAGAAGGCTCTTGTGATTAATCAACGCTAATTGCGCATACCGGAAATTCCGCGCCATAGGAAAACACATTTTAATGGAACAAAATCGACGGAATGAAGCCATGACCAATCACAAGCGTTCCATCAATTCCTCATTCATCAATTGCGTCAATTCCGCATCATGGGATCGCACTCTAAGGGTGAAATCACACAGTGCGGAAAAGGGCTGCGGAATAGAGAATGCGTCATTGAAACAACCAATTAGCGCTATTCGGAATAAGGCAAAAGAACGCTAATTTTTTACTTCTATTTTCTTTACGTTTTCCATACCGTGTGATTTCACCCAAAGTCTTTAAACTACAAGGGTTTAATAATATTCTTCGCAATAAGCGGGATCTACAATAGAAGTCGTAGCGGTCGTAGAGTCTTAAGTTGTAGAAAATTAATCAATCGAATATGAGAAGAATAATCTACTATAATTGGTCAATTTTCTATAACTTAAGACCCTATAACTTCTATTGTATTGGGTCATCTAAAAAGTATCCGCGGTTTTTTGTCACTAGATGGTGTTGATGGTCAACACCATCTAGTGACAAAAAATCGCGGATACTTTTTAGATGACCCAATAAATCCCGCAATTAATAAACAATATTTATTATTAAGACCGTATATGTGATAATACAAACTATGACAACCAAAGCCTTAATGGCTGCGTTCAGTAGAACGTTTATTTTGCAACTGTTGGAAGTTTTTTTCGCACTGATTGGGTTATACTTTTAGATCAAGAGAAATCTCAGCATCCTATCTCAACAAAGAATCATAAAACGATTGCAAAACTGTTATGTTTTGCTGAACATAACCAATGTCTGTTCTACAATTGCGACAGGGTCGCAAATCGTAAGCCATAAGAAATTGGTCAATCACAGTTAAATATGAGAAGAATAATTGACTATGATTGAATAATTTTTTACGGTTTATCGCTTTCTATTATAATAAAACAGGTCTAAACGGTTTAAATGATCCGGGCCGACGTAATATTGGGTCATCTAAAAAGTATCCGCGATACTTTATCACTAGATATTGGGTCATCTAAAAAGTATCCGCGGTACTTTGTCACTAGATATATGACCATCAACACACATCTAGTGACAAAAAACCGCGGATACTTTTTAGATGATCCAATATTTTGATTCCCGGCCGAGGTAATACTTCCCGCATATGACGATTATTTGGCACAAAATCAGACATTTTCACACAACCAAAAGAATATGACGTAAAAACAAAATCACTGATGTTTCAAAGCGGTTTGTTTACCATATGTCTAAGCTTGGTTCATGACGTTTAGGTTATGTCAGAATCGACCAGCACTTACTGCTGGAGCCATCTGTTGACAAACAGCGGGAACTTAGTTGCGCACCTAATATTTTTCGCAATAAGAACTAATTATTTAGAGATTTTAATGTCATTATAATTAGGATCGTTTCGAAGATGCAAAAAAGCATCAAAAATTGCTAAATTGCTAGTTAATTTTAACTCGTTATATTACTGTGGTAGTTTAATAAAATTAACATTCCAAGACCGAAAAATCATTTCGGTGCGCATTTCAAAAGGATTACATAGTATATATTGGGTCATCTAAAAAGTATCCGCGGTTTTTTGTCAAAAGTATCCGCGGTTTGATGTGTGTTGATGATCATATATCTAGTGACAAAGTACCGCGGATACTTTTTAGATGATCCAATAAATTCACACAGAACCATAGAAGCATTTAAGAACCAGCTTGACCGTTTAAGAGTGCCATCACATGAGGCACATAACCTGTATAAGCGTAACCTGCACATTCTAATAATTTTATTAGAATATGTTATATTTTATTTACTAGAATACGCCAGTCTAATTCGCTCTTCACATTGGGCGTATTTCGCGGAAGATTAGAGAAATGCGACCAATTGCTGATTAGAATTTCTGTTGTACAGAATTCTGATTACAGAAAGGTTGCAATACTTTTTCTTCGATGCGTTTCGGAACACGCAGTTGCTCTCCAAGTGATTGATTCTTGCTCATGGATCTATAAAGGACCAATCGCTCGGTAAGCAAGCTGCATTCCGAAATTGAAAAAAAATGCAATCTTTCTGTGACCAGCTGTACACCCTATAGAAATGCTAAACGAATTTATGACTGATTTTTGTAACTTACGCATCTCGAAAAATACGGCTCATTGGAAACCTGTTCATCGCGTACATATGGGCGAATGATCGAATGAATCATTAAAATTGAAGTCTTGTGAGACCACCTTTAAGCTTTCGATGTGTTTTTACATGAAACGAAAGAATCTAGCAAAAAATGCATCGCTTTGCTCTGTGATCCGAGATAAGCGTTAAAGTTGATGACTATTGAGGTTAGGAAATCTGTTAGGCCGGAATCAGACTATGCATTGATGATTGAGATTAAAGATTAAAGATTGAAATTCACTTCAATGAGGACAAAGAAGTTTTTGCTTGTATTCATAGTCAGACCTTGTACTTGAGGCTTCCTTAAATTTATCTTTAGATGCTCAGCAGCCAAATAAATAATTCGTAGAGTATCTAAAGATAAATTTTTTAAGGAAGTTTTAAATATAAGGCCTGATTATGAATACGAATATTTGGCTCCTTTTGTTCTGATTGATCAAACTTCAATCTTTCAATCTTTAATCTCATTCTTCAATGTGTAATCTGATTCCAGTTTCATAGAGGCAAAATGAGGTCTATAATTGTACTGTTCCACATGGGTTTCGACTAGTTTGGACTTTCCACACGATGCAAAGGCGCATGATTTCTATAATTGTACTGTTGCAAAATCGAAACCCATGTGTTGTTTCAGATAGAATAAGCTAAAATGAGTCAGAAATTGGATTCGACGCATGGTGGTTCCATCATGTTTCGGCGTAACAACAAAATAACGTAAAAAGCATAAAGTAACTAAACAGAAACTTTCAAGTGAATATGATTGGTCGGTGCAAGTTACGCTTACGTAAGTATATATGAGTATTCGCATCCGCCATTTTTAGTCCTTTTCCCATTCTTTTGCTCCTTTCCTCAATGTCTTGCTCTCTCTCCACTTTGCCGCTAAACTAAGAAGATTGAAAACAGAAGAGAGAAGGTTGAAGAGAGAACAAAGAGTGGGAAAAGTACTAAAAATGACGAATACGAATACCTATATTATTGTGCTCTAACGCAAGTAACGTCGCATATGACAGCACCCATATTCATAGTCCTTCCTTGAGGAATAAGAATTTCTTGTTCCTCATTTCACGTTTCATAAACTTTTCTTGACTAAACAAGAAGCCTTATTAACTTGCTTTTCTTAAGAGAGGTTACGAGTTTCCTTGAGAAAAAAGTGCAGCAATAATCAAGCAAAAAAAAATAAAAAAACTAATCAAAGTTTTTTATTTCCTTTCTTTCCGTAAAATAAAGGACTCTGATTGGTTGATTTTCTTATGCCTCATGTTTTATACGTTATGCAAAAGTCTGTGCTCCCCTAATCCACCCTAACCAAACTTATTTTTTACTTTCTCGTAGAAAGTTGTACATTTAAGAAGCAAAGTTCTAGTAGATTTATAACCTTCCATGCAAAATGAGGCTTGCCTCGCACCAACAAATGAATTTGATTAGGGTTAAGTTTTTTTGGAAAAATATTCAAGCTGACACTGTCTACGCTGCAACTTTTTAATAAACAATAGTAGGTTCGCGGAGCAGAGCGACATTTTTTTCGGCCAGATTCTTTCATTTCATGCAAAAACGCATCGAATGAGCCTAATTTTATTGATTTTTGAGGCGAATCCCCTAAACTGTATAATCACCTAAATATTATATAAAATATTATTAAATTATAAACTAAGTATTTTTAAAATTATTATATTTTATGTACCTGCACGCACATATGTGAAATGTCAAAAAGGCTACTCAAACTAGGAATGAAACCGATTCGGATTAATCTTTTGAAGAATTGATTTTTTTTTACTTAAAAAATCGATTTTCTTGTTTCGATTAAATTTGCAGATTAATTTTTTCATGGAAAAATCAAATTGATTACGAACATACAATCATTGTATTATTTATGACTAATTGTCCTTATTTTTTTTAAAGACGAGTCATGATTGGTTTACATATTTGTTTTGAGAATCCCGAGGCAGAAGTGTAAGAAATTTACTAGATATACACACATCAGAGATATCAACAGCGTCAGGGTTATGTGGTTCAGTGAGCGAAAGTCTACCAACTCGGAGGAGAGAACAGGCTTTGAGATGAGGAGCGCCCTGATATTTTTCTCTATTGTCATCAATTATTTACAGAAGTAGTGTGTCAGCATTGTTAGAGTGAAATCACACAGTGCAGAATAGGACTGCGGAAGAGAGAATGCGTTATTGAAACAATTACTCAACGCTATTCCGCATTTGATATTGTAGAATAGCGAATGTGTCACTGTCTTATAATAAATCATTGTATTTTGAGAGGTTAAAATAATTTGATGCTGATTGATATGATGGAATTGCGTAATATCGAGACGAAGCAAAAACTGAGTGCATAAATATAGATACCAAGATCAAAAAAACAATGATGCATTACGTACGATTTCAGTGTGCACTTTTCCATCATGCCAATTTTATGTGCTATGTTCACACAATGCGGAAAAACGATAGTAAACTGCGTTAAAACAGTTTAAAAAATTGTCATGAAATTGAAAATATTAATTGTAAAACATTAAATACTACAACTAATAATTGACAATTATGAGAAAACTTTTACAATTTGAGAAAAATTATTAGGTGTTGGAATTAATTCGTAGCGTTTTTTAATGAAAGAATGTTATTTATTTCACATGAGCATTAAAAAATACATTAATGAAAGTACTTCCCATCACTTGTAAAACGCTACGAATTAATTCCAACACCTAATATATTTTATTTTAATAAGCAAATTATTAACATGAAGTTAGTAGTTTTTAAATTATATTCATGTTGGATATATCTTTGACGCATCAAGTAACGCAACATAGCACACAAAATTTGCATGATGGAAAAGCACTGATTGGTTGCTTCAATGACGCATTCTGTGTTCCGTAGTCCTATTCCGGATCGTATGATTTCACCCTTAGCAATGTGTCGCGCAGACGCGCAATCGCGCTCGCTGCTGTTATTTTGCCTTTATATTGTACAATATATTGGGTCATCTAAAAATATCCGCGATTTTTTGTCACTAGATATATTGACCATCAACACCATCTAGTGACAAAAAACCGCGGATACTTTTTAGATGACCCAATATGATCCATGTCATCTAGTGGAATAATTTGAATATGATCTCGCTGCTGCTCGCCACGCGTTGCCGTTATCTGATCGTAAGTTATCAGATCGCTTCCTTTTATTAATGGTACGCTTTTTGCTTCTTCTTTATTATTGGGTCATCTAAAAAGTATCCGCGGTTTTTTGTCACTAGATATATGAC